GTTGCGTTCCGGCGCTGTTTCTTAGCATCCGGTGCACGGAAGGGGTGCGGCGTTGCCCGCTGGCTCTTTCGGGTGCCGCTCCCCGGCCCCCCGCTGCCTGATGACGCACCGACGCACCCACCCAGCCCAGCGGATGACGTCACCCGCCATCAGACGGCCGTCCGCCGGGCTCCGGCGCTGACGCATCCCTCTGACGTAGCTGGGCGGGTGACTGTGGCCACCGGCGTTCTGCCAGGATGCTTATTTTTATTTTGATATTTCAGCTACACAACGGATGATTTAGCCGTGTTTTTACATGAAGCAGGCGCTCTCAACTTCGTTGAGAGGCTTTTCTGGTCCATGAAATGATTCTGGTGACATTGGCTGTTGGCATTTCTGGTGACCATTCTATGGCCGTTTTTTTATTAATGTATGGTCGACTTTTGTTAAATTAATTGCGTCCAGCGCCTTCCATCGTCTTACGTCCCCTGCATGAATACATACACTCTAGTCTAGTTTGAGTCTATCCACTCAAACTGTGACATGACAGGTTGAAAGAATCGGAGGTGTCATCCCATCCCTGGGCTGCTGTCACCTCCCGTTCTGCAGCCTCATAGCAGCTGTCATCACCGTTCTTTGGGCTCAGACTGTGCCGGTGTGAGTGGCGACTCGGACCGGAACCTTGCGGTGCCGAGTTAACTACCGCTCGGATATGTCACCAGCTGCCGATGTTTTTACTTGCTTTTTTCAAGGATTATTTATTTTTTAGGTTTGTTTTCCATCACGCTTCCGTCTGCGTTTTTATCAACTTACCGAAAAGTATTCCATGTGCCATTATTCTCACCGATAGTGTCCGCCCCAGATTTACCCCACATATGTTCACGGCCGTCGTGGCCGGAATGGGGAACGGCGCCAATTACCGCAGCCGCTCCAATCCTGCTGGGCCAGGTGGTCTGTAGTGCGGCGACACATGACGCCTTTCTCCGTTGCTGGCGGCGCATTAATGGCCGGTGCGTGGCGCCGCCGCTGCCGCTGCCTCTTAGTGGCCTGCCACGCCGGTCGGTGGAGGCGGGTCCAGCCTCTGAGACATCTGTCGACGCCGGACTGGGCTTGTGTTAGTGCCGAAGCTGCCACTGTCGTAGGAGCTGTATTGTTACCTGCAATGGTGACGGCTTGCATTGACCTACCTCACCCGGAAATGCCACGGCTGGCGAAGAAGCCTCCTTCATGCACCTATTTATGCATCCGAAATCGCACAAGTGCAGCGGAGAATCTTTTTTTCGACTGTGGTATGAACACTGAGCAGGAGCAGTGCTGGGAGCCATTGTACGATATGAATAGTGGCTCAACCCAAGCTCAGATAGCCTAAAAAAATACTTTCGTCTCGTCACCTCGGTTGCCACGAGTAGCGAGTGTCGCTGTATGTATGTATGTATGTATGTATTGACGATCAAGAGCAATCCACAATCGGCGTGGCGATTACACTCCGAGTCCGAGCTGGTTGAAGATAACACAAGAAATACCTACACAAGAAAACGCACACACTTACGGATACGAAATACACAACGCGAACGCCGAACACGCACATACTTGGTGTAACCCGCACGAAGCCGCGTTCATAACTATACACACAGACTCCTCTGTCGTGTCGGTCCCAATCGGTCGCTGCGGCGGGTGGACCGAGTGTGGACCTCCTTCCAGACGCGTTGGCCAGCTGCCGTCCAAGCTGTCGCCAGAGTGGGCCGCAGCCGGCGCCGCGCCGCACGGGCCGGCCGGCCGGCCGGGACACGCCAGTCGTGACGGGGACGGCGCCGGTGACGGGAGTGACGGTGTGACGGTGTGACGGTAGTGACGGTAGTGACGGTAGCGGTGACGGTGGAAATCTGAGGCTGTGGTCTGCCATTGGCTGCCTTGCCGCGCGCGCCTCACTCGCTGACGTCTGAGAGTTGACCGGTGTGCCTTTGAACACCCAGCAGCTCGGTCAAGGAGCTGCTCGGTGACTGTTGGGTGCTGATCGCTGCTCTGCGAGCTAATTGCTTGGACCAGACTGCGGGATGATCGCTTTGTGCTACTGTTTCGACCTGAAAAGCGCGTCTGGGTTGTGTTTTTAAAACTGGAGAAGCTGGACTGTGTCCTGACGAGTGTTTCGACCAGTGGTGATCAGTCAGTTGTGGCCTGGTCAGCGTCGGCTCAACTAAACAGCTCTCTGTGGCCGTGCAGTGCCGTGCCGTCGTTCTCCGCTCGCACCCGTGACAGACGCTCTCGGCAATGGGCGGCGGTCCGTCCCGGCCGCGGCGCCGACCCGCGCACGCCTCCAGCGTGTCCGTGGCGAGCTCCTACTCCGGCTCTGTCTCCGACTCGGGCTCGTGTTCGTCCTCCTCCTACTGGTCGGAGGAGTGCAGCTCGGCGACGGGAGGCCGCGCCGCCAGCCGGCTGACCTGCAGCCAGTGCGGCGACTGCTGCTGCTCAGAGACCTCCTCGGCCGGCCCCGCCGCCGCCGCCGCCCCCGCCCCGGGCGCCGACCGCCGGCTCGAGATGCTCCGACTCTGCCTGAGACACGAGATAGAGCAGCTCAACTCGCGGCAGGCTGCACGCAGGTCGGACCCGCCCCATCTCCCCCTCTCTGTCCCTTTTGGGCCGCCCAATCCGTTTCAGTTACAGCCATGTTGGTATGGGTTTACCTCTCCGACGAGACTAGGAATAAACACCATTCGCTAAAGAAATTATGTTCTAGCTCTTATTATGGATTTGAAAGGGGTGTCGCAGTTAACTTCTTGCAGGGTTCTCAATGACCCTGCTTGAAAGTCGGAGACACCGCTTCTTTGATGACATGATAATGATACTTATAGCGGCATGGAAAGTTTGTATGGGTTGTACTGGGAACGCTGGATAGGATTTTGACTCGCCTCCCGTCTCACTAACAACCACCGATTGATCCTCTTGTCACCACACTAGTCTGTAACAGGTGCGGTGACACGACGACCTCGGTTATCTGGTTCGGCTGGCGCTGTAGAGTATAGATGGTGTCATGCACCTTGTGACCTGACCTAGTCCGACCTAAACGACAACCAATCTGGAAAACCATGCGATCATGTAACCCGACCTTCCTTTAGCTCGATCTGAACCCGACTAGCCCGACCAGTTCAATCCGACTACTATGACGATAGGCTGGCGTTGTTGTTTTCATTTCGGCGACGTGACCTGACCTTTAACCTGACCTGACGTGACCTGACGGGTGTGTCGCCGCAGTCAGTCGCGGATGGCGGTGCACAACGAGACTCCCAGCCGACGGTACGCCGTGTACCGCCAGCAGAAGCCATACCGACGACAGCGCGGTGCGCACGACATTCAGCACAGAGGTGCGACTCGGTGACCTGACCTGACCTCTGACCTTGACCATCTTTAGACACATGGGACGCATGACGAATACACTGTGGCGCTGGCCCTTCGGTGGTGGTGGCAAATGGGTTGTATGGTGCCGGTATTAGCGCCCGTTGTTTTATTCAATCTTTTCATTGCGGTGCGGGCGTCGTCCCGACTTTCCTGTGCGCTGCGGCTACGATGAATGAGACAGTACCTGTGAGTGGTGACAGAAAAGGTTGTCTTTGGTGCGAGGTTTGTATAGCTAACTGCAGGTCTGCTAGCCAAAATTAAGATTGTTGCTGTTGCACACAAACGAAACTTTCCCCAACTGTAAGACACCGACTTGGTTCTCTTTCTGTAGCGCCCAATATCTGACTTTTATTCCCAGCTTAGACGGGGAAGAATACTTTCGGGATGGAATTTATAGTCATAATTACTTCATTTTCTTCTCCAGACATTATCCTATTATCCACAAAAGGTCTCGAAAATCCAGTACCGCACCACGGCCATGATCGGCGACAGAGTAGCACTACAGCTCCATGATTGCGCAATGGGTCTCAGTGAGGTCTGCTTTCGTAGGTCTGAAGCCAACAATCGCGTTTCTGCCTTTATGAACCACCACGAACATCATGCGGTCATGATGATGCTCGTGTACTTCTATTCTACCGTTTTTTTTTTTTTTTGTACTCAATGATAGTACGAAAAGCACTATGGCAGAAATACCCCCTTTTTTACTTTTATCCTACATCCCTAACATATCCTGGCAACTGTATCACTGCTCCCCCGGCGAGAGCGAACCATCGCCGCTAAATGCCGTGTCAGCACAGCTCACCGCCGACTGGTGTCGGTCTGCGGCCGTGCCGGGTACAGAAGAGTCTGTAGCGTGTCGTGATAGCTGCATCATGGATGATACGCCACAGAATCACGGCGGGATCACGGACCGCCCGCCGCCCGGCTCCGCCCCGTGACCCGGCAATGGACACGAGCTGGTAACCGGACCGAGACAAACTGACTGTATTTCTGAAACAGAGTATTTCCAGTTTTCGCCAGAAACGTGGCAGCAGGTGTCACGATTCTCCGCCCGTAGCTGAGGTTTCGTTGCCGTAACTTTGCTTGCACGATAAAATTAAATTAATTTTTCCGTTCCTATTTCCCCAGTTCTCCTTTCATCCGCAGGAGATCCAAAACATTATTTTCACACTATCCCTGATGATTGATGAAGGTCATGCGTGTTACGTACGTTCACCATGTCAAACACCAAACTTCCAATTGTTCTTTCGCAATCGTTTATGTCGTCGACCGCGGCCTTATCGTGTGATCCACCTATGATCGCGATGGACGCTTACTGGCTGTGGTCTCTGTCTTCTCCCGCGGTCCTTCGGTGGCGAACCGTCATTGGCTGATGTGTGTGAGCCTGTTACTGCACACGGACGTGGGACCGCATGATTTCACCTGGTGTCTGGTTTTTGTGACTGTTTTTCACCCATTGTTTGTGTCGTATGTAAAAGGGCATGCGGATGTTCTGTTCGTGTGACTCAGTTTGGTCTGCGCCAGCTTGAACCACGTCTGTGCACTCGCTGATGCCAGCTATCGGACAGTGACCTGACCTTGCTCGACCTGACCTGACCTGACCTGACCTGACCTCTATGACCCGACAGCTGAGGAGCTGGTGCCGTTCGTGGTCGCCTACGATGAGTTCCTGGCCGGACCGCTGGCCGAATATGTGGCCGAGGCCAAGAAGCTGGGAGGTGACGCCGCCACCCACGCCGACCTGGTCAAGAAGGCATTCAGGTGAGGGAACGGTTTACTCCACCGCTGGGTCAGTGTTAGTCTGGCTTATGTCCTGGAGCCGATCTTCTTTACACTTCTGCGCTCCCAAACCTCTAAATGATTGTCTTCGACATCTGCTTACAAAGTTTCTTATTGTTGTGATTTTTTGTGGACGATTCTTCTCCTTCCGATGGACCATTTATCCCGTTCCTTTGTCTTCGAACTGTCCTTTCGAGTTCCACTATCACCTCGAGATTTCAGTTCCGACCTATTGGCACATTTTCTCAGTCCGGGAATCGGGAGTACTGCGCCCATATGCCGCGCGAGCCACGCGTATGGGAGGGAGGGAGGGAGGGAGGGAGGGAGGGGGTGGCTGCGGTAATTCATCGGCCACCTGCCGCCGCCGTCGAGCGGTCGGACTCTGATTCAGGGAGGTGTTGGCGCACCGGCACCTGCCGCCATCGGTCATGACGCGGCAGGTCTAGGCCGAGCGACGGACCTACGAATGGGGACATAGGACGGGAGCGGCATATGGCGATCGTGGGCGATCTCTTCCAGCGCTGCGGGATTTCACTCGGGTGTATGCTAGACCGGTACCGTGCCGTAGCTTCCTTCGCTTCACGTCAGGTCGCCCTGTCATGGGTAGTGCTTAACAAAGACTCGTCCCCCACATGCCTTGCACGTTTTTGATACGGAATAAACCGTGTCATCTCGCACTCAACACTTCATTAACCGCTGCTGTTTCCCGGCAGTGCCCAGCGCGACTTTGTGCTGCTGGCCTCCAAATGCAAGAAGCCGGACGACATGGGCGTGGCCAAGCTGCTGAAACCGCAGGCGGACGTCATCACGCAGATCACGCAGTTCCGCGAGTCCAACCGCCGCTCGCCGCAGTACAACCACCTGTCCACCATCTCTGAGTCGATCGCAGCACTCTCCTGGGTCGTCACGGTCAGTGATATAGGCTGGCCCCTATATACGGCCTTGGGCTGGCCGGTCAGTTCAGGCACATTGGACCGGTCAGTTAGTGCAGATATAGCTGATCCGTTGGGGTCGATCGCCGCACTCTCCTGGGTCGTCACGGTCAGTGAGGACACATAGGATGACCGGTCAGTAAGACACATATGACCGGTCAATCAAGCAGTTATCACCGGTCAATAAGGGAGCATAATGACCAGAATTAACATCGGCTGACTCGTCAATTGGGGTACATCTGACCGGCCAGTTGGGGTACATATGACCGGTCAGTATCGACATATGACTTGTCAGTTAGGGTACATACGACATATGACCGGTCAGTTGGCGTACATTTGACCTTTTATTTTGGGCACATATTGTCAGTGGGGGTACATATAACCGGTCACTTGCGGTACCTAATACCTATCACCGGCCATTTGGCGTACAGGTTAGACTGTTCTCTCAGCTGAAGTCCCGTCTGACCAAGGTGATGTGGTGTGTATCTAATGCGTTGCCCGATGCGTACCGCAAAACAGACTACCAGTTTATTTGGTGGTCCTGGTGGGTTGATAGGGAAGTGATGTAGAGTGTTGCTGATAAAGCAAGTGGCCATTTGTGAGTGGGTGGATGGATTCGTCATCCTGGCTGTTATCAAACGGTCAGCTCAGTCAGACTAGCCTCAGAAAAGCGATGGACTTTGCTCCGTTTGACTAAGCTTAGCGGCCTTCTGCTCCTTCCCAATCTGAGAGCACCTGAGAGTCTGCATAGTTCACTACCGAGCTGAATGATGATGTCAGCTCATCTCGCTATTTTCTGGGGTTATATCATTAGCAAACCGCTTTGGTGAACTCCGTTCAACCGCGTATCTGACCTGCCTTCCTTCCACACCGCCAGGCGCCAGCGCCAGCCCCATTCATCAAGGAAATGAACGACGCCGGCCTGTTCTGGGGCAACCGTGTCATCAAGGAGAACAAGGCGCACCAGGCGTTCACGCGCGCCTGGTCCGAGGCGCTGAAGGCGCTGCAGGCTTACGTGAAGCAGCACCACACCACCGGACTCAGCTGGAACATGCGCGGGGCAGACGCCGCCTCCGTGGCCGGCGGAGACGCCGCCACCAAAGGTAAGGGCGGGGTAGGGGGTGGAAATGGAGGGTGGCTGATGGGGGGGGGGACGGGGTAGGGTGTGGGTAGGGTAGGGAGACAAGGGCGAAATGGAATGTGTTGATAGAAAGCGACTTGGTGGTGGAGAAGATGTTGCCATACCAGTGCTCTTTTTTCGCTAATATAACCTTGATTAGAGAGATCGAACGGACGCATGCGATTCCGTATACGATCCGCTAATATGTAAGAGCGACGGAACAAACATTTGGCTGCTTGAATGGTGTGGCAATCAATGTAATCATCTCCACTGACTGCGTATTTTGCGTAACTTCTTGGCTGCCGTCCACCTCAAGCCTCTCATTAGCCGCCCGCTGAGCTGACTCTATGCCCCTCCCCCCCCCCCACAGGGCCGGGAGGACCCGCGCCGCCCCCGCCGCCACCGCCTCCTAAGCCCGCTCCGGTGTCTGCTGGTCCGGACCCCACGGAGCAGCAGCGAGCGGCGCTCTTCAACGACATCAATCGCGGCTCGGCCATCACACAGGGTAGGTGGAAACGGATAGGGCACAGGGGGAGGGATAACAACGCCGCTGGGTTCGGGGTAGTCTCGAAAGGATGGTGCACCGGTAGGGCCGGGGTTATGACGCAGTGCAATAAGAGGATGTGTCAGGAATTATTGGCAATGATTTGTAGCCTAGGTGTGCGTCTTTAACTGCGTCTTTAACTGCTGTGTACACAGTCACTAAGGATCTGGGCAGCCCCACATGGGTCAGTCCGCAGGCAGTATGTGGTGGCTTCATTCACAGCTGGCGTCACGAGCTTTGCTCCAAACACTGTAAAATCGGTAGCTATGCTGGCCTGACTCGACGTGTTTACTTTAATCGCGCGTTGTTTTGGGTTTTGGCATACAAGCTTCATATTCAAGTGATTTCACCACCCACCACCCCTTCCTCCCTCCGCCAGGCCTGCGGCACGTCACTAAGGACATGCAGACGCACAAGAACACCGGACTGCGCGCCTCCAGTACCGTGCCCGGCAGCAAGCCAGCCATCGGACCCAAGCCGGGCGCCGGCCGGCCGGCGGCGCCCGTCAAGCGCGCGCCCGTCTGCGAGCTGCAGGGCAAGAAGTGGGTGATCGAACACCAGGACAACAACCTGGAGCTGCAGCTGAACGAGACGCAGATGAACCAGACGGTGTACGCCTTCAACTGCGTCGACAGTGTCATCACGGTATGAAGCGGGATGAACTGAAGGGAGGGGAGCGGTGTGGGTAGGAGTTAACCTATATCAAGGAGCGGAATTCGTGACACGTTGCTGCTTAACTATACAGGGTTTTCAAATGTAGTTGAATAGCACGCACCGTATTTACTTGTGTACCGGTCCTGGATATTTTTTATTCGGCGTCACACTTCTGACCCTGCCTCGCCTTCTCCACCGCAGGTCAAGGGAAAGGTGAACTCCATCATCTTCGACTCGTGTAAGAAGTCGGCCATCATTTTCGACTCGGTGGTGGCCTCGGTGGAGTTTGTCAACTGCATCTCCTGCCAGGTGCAGGTGCGTGTGTCCACCATCTCAGGTTGGGACCATCCGTGCGGTAGGACTGGGAATAGCAGGAAAACCGCGCTCAGTCGTAGAGCTGTGTAGTGTGTATCGTATTGTGTGATGCCATCTGGGTGTCGGGAAGCACACACTGTGCGCCTAGTTATGTGACAGAAAAGATGATAGCGCTTTGAATTGAAGGACGACTTCAGACTCAGTCACTATAACACTACCTCAGTAGATAAGACTAGTCTCACACCCTGTCTAACGTCGTCAGGTGAATGAGAAGGTGCCGACGATCTCGATCGACAAGACGGACGGCCTGCAGATGTACCTGTCCAAGGAATCGCTGGATGTGGTGCTGGTCACCTCAAAGTCCTCCGAGATGAACGTGCTTGTCCCCAAGGGAGACGGAGACTACGTGAGTGGCGCCGATCGGACAGTGGCCGGGAAATTGTTCATAGAGAATGGTGGGGGCTTTCATTTTATTCCAACGGGTTTGTTCCCTGGTTTCAATGTGGTTGCGGATCCGAATTAAATTTATCGTGCTCAAGGCATGCTGTGATGCGACCTTTCGGTAGGTAGGTGCCGGACGTAAATTTTACCATTCGCATCACTTCGTTTTGTCTCCGAGTCCAGAGGCGGATCCAGCTCAGAGTTTTTTTTTTTTGGGGGGGGGGGCAAACCATAACAATTTATCGATTCTTTCATGCATCGTCCATAGGCTAATGTTAAAATCATGCCGTTTGGGGGGGGGGGGCAAATGCCCATTTTGCCCCCCCTGGATCCGCCACTGTCCGAGTCTGTGGCCCTCGTTAAAGGCCACCATGTCGGGACCTCGTCCACGGACAGACGCACCCACCTCAAATACAGAGTGTGGTCAAATGCTGGGAGTCCAAGGCTTAGTGTTTGTGCCATTGAGTAAAACACTCCCAAAGTTTGGGTGCTCAACCGCTGACCAGACTGGGTGCCTGCTGACCGTGTGTGTATGTCTGTGTGCGGCAGACGGAGCTGCCAGTGGCGGAGCAGTTCAAGACCACCCTGCAGGGCAACAAGCTGGTCACCGTCGTCAACGAGTCCACCTAGGCGGGCGGCACCGTCAGGTCCGCCGCTCGGGACCGGCCGATACCCCTGCCGACAGTCACGGCGGAGACGGGGAACTTTTATAAACCATTGGTGGCGCACAGCGTGAGCGGACAGACGGACGGTTGTGCCCGTCTGGTGTGAGGGACAAAGAACGGATTTGGGCGGACGAGACGCCGATGTCGGAACTTTCAACGACGAGAGCTGCAAGTCCAACTCGCCGGTTGGCGGGATGGCTGGGCGGTGGTTTTATACCGCGCGGTGAGTGGACGGAGCGTTCTGGAGATGTTCATTTGAACACGCGGCTCGTGGTGCGTGAGCGTCATCCAGGAGAAATGCATTCGCATGACGGGCTCTGCCCTGGGTGCCAACCGAACTAGGGGAGGACTATCGAATCGTTTAATTACCACGATTTTGGCGAATCATCCGACGCATAGACCGGAGGCTCAATGGTGCGCGGGTCCGTATCATCGGGCCGCGAGTATTCAGCACTAGCTTTTTATTATGTTATTATTGAATTGCTCTATTAGACCGCGGCGCTTACTAGCGGCAGACTGACCGACTGATTATGGTTTGTCGCGCTCTCCCCTTCTGCCGGCCCAGCCGGCAACCGGCGCTGTCACTGTAGAGGCAATTAATTGTCTGCATGTTTTCATGTACGAAAATACAGGAAATCGATCACGCTGTCGTTTGCGAGTGTCCAATGATGCCTCCCGAGTTCCGATGTTCGTTCGCCGCCTAAGCGAATATGTTGATAATCAGGATGAACCTCGCTCCCTTGAATGGAAACATTGCAACTACTGACAGAACTGAAATAAGTGGTCTTTTTGGCTTCACTTATGCAGAGTCCGGCGCTAAGACATCCGAAGATGTAACGAGTAATGAGAGAAATAGGGCTTGAGTTGATATAATTTTCGAATATTAACACTAGTTGAGCGCTGCAGAACGGCCGCGTCCGAGAAGCCTGACAGACTTCGTCCTTTATTTTTCTCCCTAACGCCGATTTAGCCGTCAGTGCCAGCCACCAACTCACAAACCTTCAAACTACACAGCACTGAAAACTTCGGGCAGACAGACACACCCAGTCAGTTACTATTTTATTGGGCAAAGGTCACGAATGGAATATTTAGTGCGTTACTAAGTAATGAAAGAACAGAATACAACTGACGTGCCGACGTCGTGTCGGTGAAGGCGCGGGCGCTGCGGCGCGCGGCTGGTCCCGGCAATACATACAATCTCTCTCAGTGACTAGTCCGCTCTCTCGGCACGTCCTCACATTGACGTTAGCGCTCACACACGATCCTCGGCGGGCGGCGCCGGCCCGGCCGCGGCTCTCAGCACTGGCTCACCCCTCTCAGACTAGTTAGTTCAAAGCGCTGTCGGCGACCCACCTGTGCCGCGGTAGACGCCTCTCCTCTGGCGCCTCTGGCACAGTCCCAGTTCACCCAGCTGTCTCAGTGTCAGTCGGCGGCGCGGCGCCCGGCGCCCGCCCCAGCTGCTGCTGCCCCAATATGAAGATCTCTCGTTGGACGGCGACGATTAACCTATTCACAGACTCGGTTGTGGCGGCGCGGCGCGCTGCCAAGGCACTGTCTCACGGCCTGAGCGTGTGCCCCTGGACGGAGGGTGTCCCGCCCTCACTGCATGATTCGTTCACGGCCCGGCGGACCCACACCGCCACTAGATGCACAGTTTCTGAGCGCCGCACTGGCAACAAAACTTGGCCGCCTGCACGGGGTACTGGCTGCCGCACTCGTGACAGAAGCGCGGCGAGGTAGCGCCGCCCCCGCCGCCTCCGCCGCCGCCGTTCTTCATGTTCAGATCGGAGACCTCGATACCCATCATCTCCCTCATGTCCAGACCGCGCATGCGCGCCTTGCGCGGCGAGAGTGCGTTGTGTTTGCGCTCAGAGGCGATGCGCGCCTGCTCCATGATGAGGTCGAAGTCGGGCATCTCCGTCTCGTAGAGGCTGTCCGAGGGACTCATGCCGCGCTCGTCGCCGCCCAGCGATAGTCCGGGGAACTGCAGGTGGTGCAACCCGCCGCCGTTCCGCTCCACACTGGAACGGTTGGAGCTGGGGACGAGGAAATATAGTCACTGCACGAGTCTGATATCAACCTACCACAGGCAATCGGGGCGGAGAACGGGGCTCGAGGACAATCTACAATCATTAAGGCACTTAACATGAGACTCACATGACCCTATAATATCATTGCAAAAAGGTGGAATATAAGTTGGTTACTGGTTAGTCCCGCCTGCCAACGTCATTCGCGTTCCGCGGCTGCGCAGTCCAATAATTGCCCGACACCTTACAACCTCATATTTCTTTGAACAGCTGCAGCCCGTCACTGGCGTCTGCAGCGCGCCCCTCCCGGCCCCCGTGTCTCACCTGAGCGCGCAGTCGTCGATGGGCCGCCAGAGCGGCTCGCTCCAGCCGGGCTGCTGCTGCTGGGACGGCGGCGAGGCGGCGCCGTCGGCCGGCGGTGGCGTCTCCACAGAGCCCTGGGACGGCTGCGCGGCGCCCAGTCGCCGGCTGCCGTGGTTAGTGGGGGGAGACGTGTTAGTAGGAGACCCCGGCGACTCCGGCTCCGGCTCCGGCGGCGGCGGCATGCTCGCCGCGTTCTCGCGGTACGAGGCGATCGCGCTCGAGACAAAATCGTACCGGTTGATGACCGTCTGACTGGACTCGACTGAGGAGGGTGGCGAGGGCGGGCCCTCGTCGGCCGCCGAGCGCTGCTGAATCGCGTAATCGTTCAGGATGCTGATGGCCTCAGCGATCGGGTCTTTGCGCGGAGACAGAGCGGTGGGTTTGAGCACATCGCCACGGAGCGGGAACAGCGCCGAGTGGGGCCGCTCGATTTTGGCGAACGCCGAACGGCCGGGTGACGGCGAGCGTGCCGGCGCCGGAGCCGACTCGGAGCTCTGCGGACTGAGGGGCGCGGCGGGCCGGGCCGGGCTCGGGGAGTGCGGCGCCCTCAGCGGACTGGGTGAGCGGTTAGTGGTTAGTCGGGCGGCGGCCGGTTTGGCCGGGGGACTGGGTGAGCTGGCGTGGCCGAGCAGCTCCTCCAGCTGCCGCTCCGCTTTCTCGTACGGGTCATAGTCGGCGTCCCTGGAACACAGGCACACGGCGCCAGCGCCGTCAGTCGGCGCGGCCGGGGTACTCACGGAGGAGCTGCCGGAGGATGCAGCGGCGCGGCAGGCGGGTGGCGGCCCCCGGGTGGACCAGAGCGTGTCTCCAGCGGCGGCAGCACGAGACGGCCGCCGCGCCGCGGTCGGGGCCGGGGCCGCGGCGCCGGCGGCGGCGGCAGAGCCGGCAGACTGACACAGCCCGAGGCGGGCGGGCCGCCGACGCGCGGCCGGGCGCCGCGGCTCAGAGCCGGTTTGGGTTTGACCCGCACCGGACACTCGGTGACCGTGATCAGGTCCTCGAGGCTGTCCGCGAACACCTCCTCAGGGGTGCGAGCCTCGCGGGTTGGTTCCTGACGCGGCGCCGGCCGGCGAATGGCGCCGCCTCGAGCAGCCGCCCCCACTGCCGCCGGCGGCTCGGCGGGCTCAGCGGCCTTCCGCGGCGAGCCCTGTTCGTGCGCAGCGGCCGGCGGCGGGGACGGCGCCGGCTCAGCACCCTTCCGCGGCGAGGGCCGCAGCGCCGTGCCGGTCAGCTCGATCTGCCCGGAGAGGCTACGTCCCGATCGGCGGGCGCCGCGCAGCCGCCGCCGCACCTGGCCGGACGTGACGCGGTACGTGTCGGCGCCCTCGCCGTCCGAGGTGCGCTCCGACGTCAGCGACGCGTCCAGGTCGTCCAGGGACGGCGGGCGGCCGGCGCCCGCCGACGACGGCGGCGACGGCTCGTGTACCGGTTCCGGCTCCCGGCCCGCCGCCGCGGCTGGCTCCTCGGCTGCCCCCGCCTCCGGCCCCGGGCGCCGCTGCGGCTGCGGCTCCGGCTCTGGACTCGGCGAGCGCTCCGGCTCGATGGTGGACTCGGACGGAGTGGGACTGGGCCTGGAACAGGCGACTGGCACAGGACAGCAGCCAAGGACAGACGGGATGGGACTGGGCCTGGAACAGGCAACTGGCACAGGACAGCAGCCAAGGACAGGCGGAGGAGGCAGGTTGGGGCAGTGGGAGCATGCGCCCGCGGCGCGATGAGAACAAACCGGAGCTTGAAGAGATGCAAACGGAACCATGAGTGAAAAATAAATATCAAACGTACGGTGCAACTGGACATCATGCCCGACAAGTGCGAATGACACGCCTTCAATCACCATGCAGCTATAACGTGCTGTCTTCAAACCATGGTCCTGGTGTGAAAGACCGGTAAAACCAAAATGAAATAATCAAACCTTTACACCATGCCTCTCCATTCTCTTTTCCACCCCTACCCGTTCAAGTCACACTACACCCCAGGTCATCGCAGTAGCGCCACCCCACCCGTCCCGCGGTGGTGACGGTACTCACTGTTTGACGGCGTCACTGATCCGCTGGTACTCGTCCAGCTGAGAGCGGGTAATGTACGCCTCCTGGCCGGCGTCAGGCGGCGGCGGCGGCGGAGGAGGAGACGGGGAGCGCTCCGGAGCCGTCGAGAACGCGTGACTCTGACGGGAACTGGGCCGAGAGGAGAGAAGAATCAGTGGAGACATCAGACATCCGTTGTAATTGACATTGAGCGCACACAACGCCCGTCTCTCTCTCTCCCCCTCTCCGCCCTCTCTCCCACTCACGGGCTGAGCCTGGTGTGGTGGTCGTGGTGGTGGTGGAGGTGATCGGGTCCGCCGCCGCTCTCGGCCGGCGTGCTGGTGGAGCGCTGGTAGCCGGGCCGGTCGGCCGGAGTGTCCTCACCGCCGTCCGGCTCGTCCCGCTGCTGATGCTGCTGCTGGTGGTGTTGGAGGTACGACTGGTGCTGCTTGGCAGAGCCCGCCGACCGGACGCTCGTGGGACTGTAATTAAATAAATTTCAATGAAATGAACAAAAACAGCACGAGCATTCGACGATATGCCTCGCAAAGTCAGTACGAAGACCACTCTACAACTCTTTTGTGGCATTATCCTCGGTAACACAAAAACCTGCTTATAATGTTTTACGTTCCGCGTAACCAAAGACCTATCTGATCGTGCTGATCGTCCTCCCGTATCCCGGGTCTAGCCTCTACGTCAACCGAGTATGGTGATGTCTGCCCATCCTTCCATTCCCCTGGTGTCTACTTTCGTTACCTGAACGTGTTGACTGTCCTCTGGTGTTTGAGGTTGGTGGCCCGCGTGCCGGCCGGCCGCGCGCGGAACGACTGGGTCCTCCTGAACGCCTCCTTGGTCGGGCTGGTAGCGCGCGGCTCCGAGCCTGGAACGGCGAATACACAGGGTCAACACGGACGGAGCAGTAAGAAGTTAGGCGGAAACGCGGCACACGATACTGGGCAGCGGAGATGGTATTACTGCAGTGTTAGTACTGAAGTTCCAACTTTGAATTCACCTGGCATGATCTGCAGCTGTTCACTTTGAGCGCACCAAACGGCCAGGATGGAGTAATCACCCATCAACCCTACTCCACACACTCAAGAATACAGTCACAATTATTCCAATGAGTACATCTGATTGCCATTCCAGACAACACCACTCCTCATCAGTCGCTACCCTGTAAATAGCATGGTTCATTTCCCGACACTCTGCTACGTCCCTGTCGCGGCCTGACCTGCACCATTCTATCACACCAGGGCCTCGTTTCATAAAGCGAGTCCGTAACTTTGCCGGTTTTTGGTCTTGTATTGCAAGTGCATGTGAAGCGATGACGATAGTTTGAATCGTTGAATCTATATATCTTGCAAGCAAGAACAGAGGGAGAAGGGGAAATAAATGTATCGCTTCACACTCTCTTGCAATACAAGCCCAAAAACCGGAGTAAGTTACGGACTTGCTTTATGAAACGAGGCCCAGATCACTGCCCGACTCCGCGTTACCATGTCCCGCCGTCTCTCACCTTCCCTGGCCAGCCGACTGGCCGGCTGTTTGCCATAGCCGGAGCTGACCACCGAGGCGGGGCTCCTCTTCCGCTCCTGTATCCTCTGCTCCCGCTCCTGGGAGGCGCGCTCACGGTACTCCCTGAGGAGGACAGAGGAGGGAGTTATACCAAAGTCCGGGACACGTGCGAGGTAAGATTGAAAGAAATGGAGCGATTTATTGGAACAGGATCAACAAAAAGATAGCTAACAATCTCCTCCTCCCTACAGTTGACTCTCTGGCGTCCGTACCCACTCTCTCTCTCGTGGGAGCTGCCATTTAGATGTCCTCTGAAATCGGTGGTGGCCTGTCCACGGTCATGATTATCCAAACTTACGGTGGCTTACAAGTTACAGGACATTCAGGTGCCGAACCTGAACTTACAACGAGACAGGGACAACAGGATGACGCGCCGTAACCACGCAGCGGCGTTGCACTGGAGCAACACATTGGACAGACCACACAACAAACCAGAAACTCCAAAACAGGAAGCAGCATAAATCTCACAAGAGTAATGAGAGGTCCCACACAGGAGAAACATCCCGTCACGGCAACAGACACCGTCGGCCAAACCAAACACGCCCGGAGCACGCGCAATGCGGCAGTGCCGACCTCTCTCAGTGCGGGGACCGCCAGCTGCCGTTCCCGGTACAGGGGAGCGACAAATGGGTGTCGCCTGCACCGCGAGCGGCACCAATACCTCAGCCTGCGCGTGGCGGCAGGGTGCAGAGACGCAGATAACTCGACGCACAGTGGCGGGTGAGCAAGTGACAATTTTTTTTACGAGAAGCTGCGAGGGAAGCACAGGTTGAGTGCATTGGATATTTTTACACCCTCTCTAAGTGACAAACTCAATACAGCAGGTCAAACGCTGTCACCTTCAAATGGTGTCAAACGTTACACGTGATGATGCTGGATCACCGCAACTATTTCGCTGGAGGACTTTGTCTACCTCATAAATACTGGCTTTCAGCTGTGACATTTATTGCCACGCATGATGTTTCACGCCGTTAATCTTTAAAAAAAAAATGGCCCTTAGATCTGTCAACTGTTAGGAGTTGGACGGCAGTTGGCAGTGCCCATTCAATCAAAAGAGACAGAGGAATCTCTGGATCGGCAATTAGACACAGCTGCGACTTCAGTCACACTTCTATGGCAACGCGTGCCGTCAGTTCCACCCAGTGGTCCTCACTTCCATCCACAAGCCTCGACATACTCACTACAACAGTCCTGCGTATGCTAGCAGGTGCAATCCTACGACCGGCAGCACACTTGACCACCCCGAGCTCCGCCCATTCAGTTATCGAACCAACGGCGGAAGCAAACAATGACAAGGCCATAGGCAAACCAAAAGCGAAAGCTGTCACCGATAGCAAAAGCTGTGCCGGGCTATTTCTTTTTGAGCACTGAACTCTACGCACATAGGGAACTAAATCAAACAATATCATCCAAGGAAGCTCCAGACAGCACACAGTGCGGGTGGGCGTACTGTTTGTCCACCTGTCCACTTTTTCACACGAAATATTGAGTGTTGACGTTTCTGGCAACACGCAACGAGGTGACAATCATCTTCTGACAGCTCACACACCCCGACCGACAGCCCGGATTGGACGTGTGATAGCCGCGTCAAACTCCGCACCACAATGACCGTTTTTACCTGTACGACGTGCGACCACAATCAGCGACTGGGGGCCGGCCCACCCCAACCACGTCAGGGTCAGTGCTACCAACTGGGGGCGATCGCTGTCAGGGTGGGGTCGTCAGAACAAGTACGATATTATCACATGGAATCACGTCATAGCAAAAGCGCACATTTTCTTTTTACAGTGGATGCTTCTTGGTAGGCAATTGATATGTTTGGACAGAAAACTGCTGAGAATGTCATTACTGCTGTAATGACATTGCGCATGCATTAGGCGATTCAGTAGCAGGCAGTCGCAGTGAAGTGATGTGATATTTCGTACATGTCCATGAGCGCACCCCACTGCACGCACACATGGCACAGCCAGTGCAACGTGCACCTCTAGCCGCGTGTCCACCTCACCTGGCGTAGTCTCGGGTGGGCCGTGTCGGACTGCGGGCTGTGCTCAGTGACGAAGGGGTGGCTGACGGCGCCGAGCTGACCACAGACACCGCCGGGGACGTCTCGCGACTGAGCCGCTCCACCGAGAGTCGCTTGGGACGCGGCTTCAGCGGCAGCGGCGCCTGGTACTGCAGCAGGGAGCCGAGCCGGGTACAGCAGACGGACAGGACGGGACGACACGGGGACGGACAGAGGCGCGCACAGAGTCACAAACCCCGGCATAACGTGTACGAATACTGAAGCATACAGGTCCATGACTAAACAAACACAGCCCAGACAATTATATTGAGACAATGCCAAGCGTTCGGTACTATGCAGCCCAACCAAAAAACACACTGATATGCACAGTAGATCCCGGCCTATCAGCCCAACACAGCTACCGTTCCCCGTCCCAAGCTGAGAGCCCCGACAAGTGATACCCTCCATACGTGCTACGCAGTACAGCGAGCATTGCACAAACAAACAGGCACTAAATTGGGACGGCGGCAGCCGCGGCTAGGATAGTTTGCCCGTAACTGCACTGCACGGTGGTCAGGACGGGCCATCCTTACGGAGGATGAGCTGAAGAGGTTTCCTGACACTCTGACAAAACCAGGTCAAGCTGACAACCCTACGTACGGTCTGTATCACTCGCAGCTCCTCCGTCGCTATTTCCGCTTGCACTCTGGCAGGCTGCGGGCACTAAAAACACGCCACGGGAAAACAAGCGTCCCCGGGGCCCGGCAGGAGACACGTCCGTATCAACAAACACTCCCGGCGCGGGACAGTATCTGGAGCGTGGCAACGCTCACCAGATGCTGCACAGCACGACCGAACTCGGCAGATGGCGGTCCGCAGCCCGGGACAAACCACACATACACGCATACACAGCCGCAGACAGCACTCCCCGGGACAAGTATAGCGCACGGTTGAACCGGGTCGCCAGAAGACAGAGTCAGAGTGGACGAGTCGGCCCACCGGGGACTCACCTTGACTCGGGCGTCCAGCCGGTTCTTGGCCACCGCTGAAGCAGCGCTGGTGTTAATACGCGACTTCTGGTCCTTGCACCAGCTGATGTGGCGCTCAGCTGCCTTCGGACCAAAGTGCCTGTGGGGTGGGAGAGGGAGTCAGATCAGAACCCCGCCTGGAGAAACGAGGACAAGGGGGAGGAGAGCTTTTAATCATGTTTTAGACGGATCGTACCTCGCGATAAAGATGGATCCTTTATAAACATGTTTTAGACGGATCATACCTCGCGATGAAGACGTAGACTTGAGCACAGCTCGCTCACTTCTTTGCATAAATTACGACTATAGCAAACCAACACGTGATTGCAGATCTAATTCGCGGGGGAGCGGCTGTCTTTTGAAGCCCATTAGCGAGTCAATAGCCATGTCCACTGGTCAACGCCCACCGTCTGCACGGAAGGACCCTTTTACAACGGGTAGTATGGCACAGAGCCAGTGGACACATTAGTCGGCACCAACGTGACATCAGAGACCGGTCGCCGCGGCAACGAGCCACGACCGGACACTTCCACGGCGCGAGTGCCACACCTAACAGAGTGGAGCCGCCCGTGCTACCGACAATCTTTCAGCTCCCGGTCCACGCACCCAGTATGTTAACCAGGTGAAAATGCCAACGCCCCAGCCGCTGGCAGCGATGAGGCTAGATCACCGGCAGTTTTTCGAGCATTTGGTCCCATTTCAAAGACAAGTGCACCATGTCAATTCACTGCACATGCTATCTCAGTGCCTGCGTCATCTCGCAAATGAACCACAAATTACTTAACTTAGTGATAGCCTTACAACTCGGGATAAACACTGTTCAGAATTATTTACAGACATATCTTTCATCAACCAGCCCGCCTCATAGGTACATCAAGGTTTTTGTGTCCGTCTAAGACCGCTCCCCAAGTTTTGTCTCTCATCCATCGAGAACCGGCACTCGGCGTCAGGTATCCCTCGTCGGCCCATCAGTCTCCCAGCTAGATCCTACCTCACTTCTTCCCTCCCAAACCGGTCTCCGGCGCCACTCAGGCCGCCGCACCTCTTGGCTCGCTGTATGTGTGCACAAACACTGCAGCTAGACGGCGGGCAGGCGGCGGCGGGGGCGGAGGCACACAGGCACCCACGACCATTTCCGCAGTGGTGGGAGGGCGAAACGAGCGTGCTTGGTGTCGGTAGTGACGTCATTCGCCGCAGTCATAGTGGAACAGTGACTATGTCAGGTAGGTATGTGCGTTAGGCTAGGAGATATTCCTGCCGTAAACGTGGAATGCTGTAGTTAATTTTTGTGAAAATGGCAAAGCCAAGGCTCATTGATGGCTTTCTCCGGAGATCAGCAAAGTAATCCTGTACCCACCACCCCATTTCTTACACAGCACCGCATGGCGTTGACGAACATTTCTTCGACAATGTCCGCAACACTGCTATTCTGACCCTTCAGCCTCTGCACGATCATTATTTGTCCATAGCTTTAAAATAATCGCCGAGAGGAGCATGTTGCATGCTGAGCCGAGCAGAAAACGCCTGCGGTTGCACGTGAACCATAAATGTTGGCTATCAAATTACCCTATCGTCCACATGCCAATTGTGCTGTTATGACCCGGCTCAGTAGGAAATAGCGACATTTAAGAACACAATCGATTAAACTAATTTAAGCCAATTCGCTAGCAAAGGAAACCGATGATCTTACGATAAGAAAAACTCAATCACGTTGGGATTCGATCGGCATCCTTCGCTGTCGCTTTCCTACGAGTATTCTTATATCCTAATAACGTTGCGGCGCAGCAGCTACTACCACCAGACGGCCGGACAGCCCAGCTGGCGTTAGCTGTGGCTGCGACGGGAGGGGACGGGGGGATACCGCTGCACTGACCTGCACCACAGCCGCGGCGGCCGCCGTGCCAGGCACGCCCAGCCCCTCCCTCATCAGGTGTCTGGACACACCCAACGCAGCCGCGCACAGTCCACACCCGAAACTGTCCACCCCAGCGGACACACCCAACACTGGCGCCAAAGTCCACGCCAAGGGACAGCCCACTTCAGTGGACACACCCACCGCACAGCGGAACACACTCCGTATCAGGTCCGAAATGGCCGGACACACTCAACGCAGAACTCCAAACTCCCCAGCGCATACCGGACTAGATTGGCCGCTACTGAATCGAAGAGTGTCCAATACCGGGGGCACCCAGCATAGTGCTATCCACAGGCCACAAAGGATCAGAGTCTGCATTACAGGACACCAAATTCAGCGTCACACGCATCACAATCGGCTCAGGGTCAGTCAAACGGCACCAAGTGCCTCAGACAACCGGACCATGACCATCACACGGCCCCATCCACCGTCTCGTAACCACCACACCTTAACCACCCGATCCCGGTGGCCGTTTCCCCCCACCTACCTGGCGCAGAAGGGACACTGCTCGTAGTCGGGCGGCACGGCGGGCGCTGCGGCCGCCGGCGCCGCGCCGCGGGCTGAACGGACCGTGTTCAGAAGCTGCGTGTGCTTGTCACGCCACGAGGAACGCGAGCCGGAGCGGCGGCGCAGCGGCGGTGACGGAGACCGGTGCACATCCTCCGGGTCTATCCCGGTCCCTGGGGGAGGCAGGTGGGTTAAAAAGAAGTTAGGCCTATTCAGGTGAGGATATGTTGACATGGTATGAAATGCGCTGAGGTAAACATGGCCTATGACCCATTTCTCTTCGTATTTTTAGTTGGCCCTGAAGCAACACCGCTTAGTCTTTAAAAACATTCGTATTTGCTGCAAACCTGTCACCTATGCAACTCACACACTTTGTATAAGTTACGATAAGCGACATCGACAAAACTGGAGGCACTGATTTCTCTCCAAAACAGGACAGACCGGTATTGTTAAAAATGTGGGGATTAGAGCATCACGTGAACGAACTCCAACTGAATGCGATATAACCATACAGTGCACGACGCGGTCTAGCTCTGCACTGAAATCTGAATTCGCTTCCTTTACGAGTCGCTAGAGAGTTGGATCAGATATCACACATTTTTTCTTTATGTAAACATTCAACGAATTAATGTTCCTTTCGGTTGCCAGCAGAACGCTGGTGAAAATCAGCCATCCCACTCATCCGTCAGCCCACAGGCTGAGAGCAAGCCATACTACGCGGATGTGTGGAGTGAGAACATTTACTCGGTGAGCTGCAAGGTCAGACCACACATAAAACACCGATCGTTCTCAGGAAGTGGTGCGACTGCACTATGCTCTCACGGTAAATGCAACCAGCCGACCGAACCAGCTTGACCGAAGCTCTGCGCATCAATTTGAGAGACTAGAGAGTCCCAGATCCAACCTAAGCACAAAACATCTTAGCACCACCCGGCCTTGAGAGGGCCAGGTGGGTCCAAACCAGCTCATGTCCAGTGTCCACAGCTGACTCGGATAAGAACTCGGACGCCTGACACACGACCTTGACGAGGGCACAGCCCACCGGCCGGCCCAGTGACAGTGCTGACAGTACTGACTGGCTATCTCCAAGCTGCCGTCCCAGTCGGCCAGCCCCGGCAGCGGCCAGACGTATAAAACATGAGCCGCGCTCCCGACCAACCGCCGCGGCCGAGCGCGCTTTGCGTGACAGCCGCCGCCGCCAATCATGTATGCAATTGTTCGCGGAACACTCGGCTGACGGGCAGCCATATGCAACTCGGCGCGCGGTAGGACGGACGTTCCTGGCGGGCGGAGGTGCGCTATCGGAGATCCACGACCCCGCCCGCCGCCACGCGACACGGCACTTACGAGTACGCCGCGTTGTCCGAGGACCATCTCCGCACGTTACCTTCCCACCCCTCCCCGACCCTTCCGGCTCGATTATCCCGCCCCTGAGCGCCCCTGAGCACTTCTGAGCACCTCGGAGCGCCTCCCAGCCTGTCCGCAGCCGCCGTGCGGAGGCCACCGCACCGCAAACCGGTCTGGGCGTCCCACGCGGCCGGCCGAGCCCCGCCGCTCTGTGCCGACCGGGAGCGGGTCGGCCCGGCCCACCTACCCTGCAGCCGCTGACGAGACGAGCTGAACACGTTGCGCTTCTTGTGCGCCGTCTTCTGGCAGATGTTCTGGTGGCGGGCCAGCGCCTCGGGCAGGAAGGTCCTGTTGCACGTGATGCATGGCAGCAGCTCACCAGCCAGGGACGGCGGGGACAGCTCTGTGGGGCAGAGAGGGTGTGTTAAATGCGGCTCGGATGAAAACGTGGGGCGGGGTCAAGAGAGCTACACAGGTATGCCAAACGCAGGGGCAAATGGTTTAGCGTGGGGCATAAAGGCCCGAGAGAGCTCTCGGTTATTCACGTCACCCGGTACTGAATCACACGCTGTCATGAATTGAGTACACCAGAAAAGATGATGTCACATGCGGGCGATGACAGCAGCAGCTGTCTGTCGGGTCACAGAGGTCAAACACCGACCGGTCACCGGCACAGGGCACGCCCCAGCACGGTACCGACCGGAGCCGGCGGGGGGCGCCGGGAGGGCCGCACGCGGCGGCCGCCGGAGCGCACGTACGCCACCCACGCTGAATTATACATAGCGCCGGCCGGAGACCAATGGGTAAACAATGCGGCCTGTTTGACGGCGCGGCGGCGCGGCGACACGGCCGGCCTCCCCGCCCCCGTCAGCGGCGGCGGGGGAGATCTCAGGCCACTCCTCCCTCCATTCAGCAGTAGCGGCTCAGTGTCACTCGGCACTACTCATCATCCTCAGCAGAGCGAGGCGCATCTGCTCCCGGGAGAGACCGATAGTGCCCCGCCGGACCATTTAATGAATCGGCCCTCAAACGGCGGCCGATGAATCCGACCTTCAGGCCATCCGGCCGGGGTCCGCGGCCCGCGCGGCAGCCGGCAGTTTCCATATGAATGGCACCCTCTCTGCGGCGGCGGGCCGGCCGGGGCTTCCTGATGCCTGCCGCCACGCCGCCCCGGCTGCGGTTGCAACACAGCTACAATGGTTTCTCGGCGACGCCCGATCGGTGTCAGGGTCGCCACTCGAAGAACGCGGCCGGCGCGCGCGGGGAGCCGAGGAGGCACGCCGCCCGGACGGAGCAGACCGCGTGCTGGTGGTCGGGAGAGCGGCCTTGAGGGTCAGAAGTGGAGCCCGGCCCTGGCTTCCCACCGACCGCGGACGGCAGGTAAATGAAAACCGGCAGGAAGTGACAGGTCGTGGGCGGACCCACAAACCGAAACCAATCGACAAATGGAAGCCGACGTACGGCGAAAACGAACGAGGCAGGTAATAATGAAGTCGCACGTCCAGAAAAAAACGATTGTGTCACTCAGTAGCCACCGGCCAGGACTTACACCCAGCCTCCAGGCCATCCCGGAGATCCAGGACAAGATAGAGCAGGCGCGTAGGTACCGAGCGTTCAGCGCCGGCCGTTCAAACACTCGACGTTATTGCGGCAGCCTGAGGGCGCCGGGGGCCACCCGGCGTTTGGTCAGGCTACAGCCGGGCACCCGGCCAGCCTACAGCCTACCCGGGTCAGTCTTCAGCCCGGCGCCCGAACGAAAGTGAACGTCGGCAGTGCCGGCGGCGGTGGCGCAGTCCGGTAAGCCGAGCGGGGTTGGAGCGGACCACCCCAATACAGCCACACACAGCCGGACTGAGGAAGAATGGAGAGACAAGGGTCCAGTGCAACGCTCATAGAGCTGCTAAATATCTTCCGTCAGATCCTGCCAGTCACCACACGAACGCGTGGTTCTAGTACACACACAGCTACCATGAGGAGGGACCAGCGATGTCACCATGGACATCAGACAAACACAGCTCTCACAGAGAGACTAAAGCCTGCCACCACAGACATCCAGCTTCCACAGCAAAGGCTATCATGCCTATATCTACCAGATGGCTTGCCAGCTCGACTCCAAAACGGGCGGACCAACCAGTACGGTGCCATCGGACCTGCTCACCTGACGCCGGTAGCACGGAGAAAACACGGGCCAGCCCTGGAAGGTAGGGCACAAGCCGAGCTAAGTAACGGATACGCCGAAACCGGTACCGCGGAATGAGCGGTGCTTAATTAACATGCAAGATATTATCTTCAGGCCATTCTTCAAGTGAGTTCTTCAGCACAGCACTCCATCGCACGAACGCGAATGAATTTCCAGCATGCATGTGCAGGATTGAGAATGCGGAAAAAGACAAGCAGCCGCGAACTGGACCAAAAAGTATGACCATTACCGCTGCCTTTTCTTGACCACACAAAAACACTCAGCTGGCATGCTATCTTCCACGACACAGGTCGACACGGGCCGGAGCGGGCTCGATTGGCCGACGGGGCGTGTCGCGGCCCTCACGAACAGGACACGCACGACAGCGGGGCCGGCTACTGAGCGGGGGTCAGACAGCACCGGAGAGGGTCAACGGCCGACAGTCTGTGATGGACATTGGCGAGTTACGTGATTCAAGCCAGACTGGCATTCGCCACCCCCGTTGGTAATCGATGCGCCCCTCCCCCAGCCGCAGGGGACTGAAAGTCCGCATGGAGTATTGTGGTTGTGTATGAACTCGGACGGTATTTACACTGGCTACATTCATAGCCAGACGCCAATGACGCTTAGTGCGGCAGTGACGACACCAGAGACGCGTTTCACAACGCACAACAGGTAGCCCAGAGATCTGACAACCAATGACCGATCGGGCCGATGGCGCCCGACTCACGCAGGTAGCATTTACAGCCGACTGTACTCCACTGATGGACTCGCCTTCCCACACGAGTCCGCGAGCTCCCAGCGCGCCCCACCCGAGCTCGGCCGTTCCCAGCGTCAAGTGCTACATTCTCACGGTCTGTGCCCACCCGGAGCCCACCTGTTAACATCACGGTAATCGACGCCACGCCACGCCACTTTCACGAATCGGCCAACCCTCGACCCAGAATGAGCTGCAGGCTAATTAAAATTCAAATGGTACTCGATCCTCGGGGAAACGGGAAGAAGGGAAAGTTAATCCATCTCGGGCACACATGCCGCTCGTCAGTGAGCGGCGTCCAGCGGAACGAAACAGAGCACAAACATACCTACCTCCCAGCCCTGCCCGGTCGACCGGCCGGCAGCAGCGCGGGGTCCATTCTCCACTCTCTCAAACAGAAGGTTAGTATTGAAGGTTAGAAATAAGAAAACTGCCAGCGGAAGCGAAGCAGGACGGCCAAACCGCACCTGGCTGAGGTTAGGAGCCCTTTCAGACCAGTCACCAGCTAGGAGGGGCGAGGGTTTGCTTCCCTTTTGATTGTGAGTCATAAGGTTGGTCGATATCAACTTACTCGGCATTTTATCGCGGCATGCGACATTGTACCGAACGCTAATCACCTGCTCTTCCATTCTTTCCCTTACATTGCCTTCAAATTTGCCCAAATGTGATTAAAACGGTACACTAAGCCTATGCGAGGATAGGGACGGCGAGGCGACATCAGTTACGAATAGTGCAAACCCTCGGCCGGACGTGCGCAGTTGAGAGCGGTTGTCGGCACTGCACTGCAATGCCATCTGACCCCGGACGTCCGAGCTTCACACAGCCGCCTCCATCCGCCGGTAGATCGCCAGCCGGCGTTGCGAGACACCGGCCAGGCGCCAACTGGGATTGCAACACCTCCCGTCGCCGCGACTGTTTGCATTCCTTCGCCGCGAGGTGCCGTCGTCGCAACATCTGACAGGGGGCAGATCGGCGCGGACCAGCCGCCGAAAACACCCCTCGACATAGGGCCGGTGGTCACCAAATGTCACTTCTGTAAGCCGCATTGACGACGCTCAGCTCGATCACTAGCCGGCCGTGCAGTGATACAGCATGTTGCAGTACAGCGGCGTCGGTTGGGGTCACGGTGTCTGCTGCGCTGCAGATGCGACGTGCCGCCCGCCGTCACTGACCGCACGGCGCACTGTGGCAACGCTTCGGTGACGCCAACTGCCGACATTGAGCGATTTTTACGCTGTTTGTAGTAGGTACTGCCACAAAAGGAATCGTCCATCTCGAAGGTAACCATCAGGTCAGTAATCGTTTACTCGCATTGGCGTCCCTGGCAGCAGCGAAGGCATTAGACAGCATCGCCGCCTCATGACTCACACCATATAAAATCATCAGTTTGATACGGTGGCGCCTTTACAATCAACAGCGCTCCGATGAGCTGACTCAACTCGTTCGCTGCAAACCAGCTCGCCCTCTCTCGAAAGACACATACGCCACAGGCCGGGTTGGCCCACCCCGGGAGCGGCACGCCGTTCCCAGGTGACGCTGCGCCGGTCGGCGCGTTTCTCCGTCTGTCTCTGTGTCTGGGACGACGCTCCGTGACCGTGTCAGCCCGGCGGGCAGCCGACTGTGGCCGGGTCGTGACCGGCCGGCCGGCTCTCCCCCGGCGCGGCGGTCAGACCGACCCCGTTCCCAGTCGGGACGACTATCACCGGGCGTGGTCAGCCGAGCGGGGAGCGGCCACCGACACCGCCGCTACCCCCTCTCGGAGTCACTGTGATACAGGCCAGCGACGCTGCCACTCCCCGAAACATCGACTCTGTACTCCCTACCCTTCCAAAGATGACGGCCACTATCTGATACAGACATCGTGAACCGTGACCCTCCCTCGTCTGACGATCACGACAGATACCGTGACCCTCCCTCGTCTGACGATCACGACAGATATCGACAGTGCCACTGTCTCCCCTGCTGGACGGTCATTTCAGTCCCTTTCTGTGGACGCTGGACAGTGGACAGTCATCCCGGATGCAGGAAGCACAAACCGTGACCGGAGAGGGATCGAGTCGGACCTCCCCTCGCTCTGCCCGCGAACAATGCAGCTCAGCAGCGGAGACTGCCAAACCAGACAGCCTGGTTAGTATTTCTGCCGCGAAGAGGCCAAGCACCATCAGCCACCACCACCACCACCACCATCACCAGCCGCCGGCACCAGTCCCCCTCGGACCATCACCAATCAGTCAGCGCAGCCACATGCGGGCGGCCTGTTTGGGTTGGAGGCACGCCACGGCGTGGCGCAGCACGGCGCCACGCTACGATACCTGCATCGTCGGTCCAGGCGTGGGGCGCCAGCGGGCCGCACGGCCGGTCCTCGCCTGCAACACACGGGCACGGCCGGGGCGCCGGTCACGGTAGGCGGCTCACACACGGACCGCGGCCGGAGCGCCGGTCACGGCAGGCGGCTCACACACGGGCACGGCCGGGACGCCGGTCACGGCAGGCGGCTCACACACGGACCGCGGCCGGGGCGCCGGTCACGGCAGGCGGCTCATACACGGACCACGGCCGATACGGCGCGGCGGACACCCAGTGCACGACGAGCAACTACAGAGCTAAGGAAATGCGTCAGTACGTGCTGCAAAACAAACGCCATTTGGGTGTGCTTGGGAGCAAAGAATTGCGGGCATCGCAATACGTTGGAAATCAAAACATTATTGAGTAAACATGAAAACCAAGAACCTCGAAGATGAAAACGTCCGGCAGATTCGTTTGTTTTGAAAGCACGTATAGACGTAACACTGGCGAGGCAGAGCCACCGCTATTCGGTTGGCACAAATAGAGCAGTACGACAAAAGCAATACGGACAATGAGGCGATACATCAGGCATGTCATGCGATACCGTCATTCAATTACAGTACCATCTCTACATTCTACAGTGCTTTTGCTTTGATGCGGTACTACAATAATAGGTACCCGAGCCTCTACTGTGCTACTGTGCTACTGTGCTACCATGCAAATGCAAACAAACCCCGGTGCATTATGCAGACGTATACATCCGGTATAATTTCTTCATTTGTGTAATGCTATGCAATCAACTTATTCAGAGATTGAGAAACACAAACATGAGAGACATAATGGGATTCGTGTCAACAGAAAGACTTGAATACGTTCTTTCAAAAAAAGTTATCGCTGAACTGAAACCCAATAAAAACACAGGAATCGTCATCACCGAATCGAAGGCCTGGCTTCACCAGCGCAGCGGACAGGTGGGCGTCAGTCTGGTGATAAATGGGACCTCTGAATTACCTCTGGGACGAATATTTCAAACACAGCGAGCGGAAACCACCAACAGCCATGTATACTTGAGTTATAACCCTAAACGACATTGATGATGAATTCCGGGCAGGGTGTGGAGTCGTGGACTAATATAGACATAATTACTCATTTCCACTTTAAGATGTTGGATGAGAAGAAAAAATCGGCATAAGGAAAAGGACAATTTCGACATAATTGCCTGAAACGACAACCAATAAACGACAACCAATCGAGCATTCAGGGAAATTATTGTTTGTCGGTAAGATTACGAGAATGGTTTTGAATCTCGGACCATACTAACTCAGGCCAGCTGACACATCATACATCCTTGCACATTGCCCGACCCAAACAACCATCTGTGCCTTGTAAGACAACCAAACACCCCCACCTCCGTCCCGATCCGTTCTGTCAGGTCAGAGGCCGTGCTCCGGCTGACCCCCGCCGGCACATGGCCTGTGCATGACCAGGTGTCCAATCACCTCTCCAAGGTCGGCCGTGGCGCCGCGCTGCACGCGGTAGGTACGCACCCTGTGGCGGAGTCTGCTCCGAGGTAGAGGAGGCGGCGGCGGCGTCAGAAGGCGGCGGGCCGCCCACGCCCCTCGAGCCCGGCGTCCAGAACCGCCAGCACGCCAGCATAGCGGCGGATTGGACCGGAGTCACCGATCAACTGACGCACACACAGTGCGCAGTGACGGTGTGACTATTCAGAGTCGATGTAGCCAGACGGCTGGCGGGTCAGAGCTTCCGACTTTTAACGGAATCGACACGGCCACGACGACTGGCGGGTCACAGATGACGGACTGTCTCACCCCGCCCGTCCGACCTGTTCATTCCCACCGCCGGTATACAACGGAGGACCACGGCGCCGACTCCTCTCACAACGTTCCGATATACCTCACTACCTCCACAAAGAGCACTGCTCTGCCCTGACTGAGAGCACCGCCGGCCGGTGTTGCTGACACGACTGCCGGCGTCCCACTGGCCGGCAGATGTGCTGCAGAGTCCGCCCGGTGACACGCACTGTCGGCGCCGGCCGTCCAGTGACACTGCCGCCCCGCCGCCGGCGGCGGAGGACGGGGAGGCGGGGTCTGCGGCCGCAGCGCTGTTTGCTCAGCGCCGCCCCAGCTGGCTGCACTGCGTCTGCACGGGGCGGCGGTCACTGCGCCACTAGCACACAGCTACACTGGGTAGTCGCCCCGCACCACTCTGTCAGTCCAGGAGACCCACAGCGAGTCCACGAACCGGCGCAGGTCGTGTCAGGTCGTGCCAGTCGCACGGGGCAGACTGACGCCGCCGCCGACCCCCGACTGCGACGCATACGGCCGGCCGGATGCCGGTGAGATTCGCGTCGACCCACGCACGCACATCGCCGCCGCCGGGCAGGCCGCAGACCGACAGAGTGTGGAGGCACCCTGGCGCAGAGGAACCGCAGCGCATGACCCGAGAGGCACACCTGCTGCGGAAATCGACTGCTGCTCTGCGCGGTTCGGAGCAGACACACTTTTCAATTTCCAGAAGCAATGCTGTCATGAACAACCAAAATGGCATGCAAATGTTAACAGACACTGATTTATAACTTGAGTAAGATAGCCAAACCTGAGCAGATTGCAATCAAGGAGAGCTTCACTGAAATGTCACAAAGGAACGCCAAGGCATTCGGTGCATGTCACCTAGTCATTTATCAACGTTACGTACTGAATCCTTTTTACGAGTACGGCCTGCGATTCGACCGAACAAACCGATGGCGGGACGAATGTTTCTCGCCGTAAAAACGACTCATCTGATCTTACCAATAGTACCGGATATCGTTGCGCGAAAACTAGGTACACTACATGACGACACCACTCTACTGTGATATTTCCGCCCCGACAATCAGCATAACGACCAAATGCCACAAATAGCCACCGCTTCACATGGCATAGAACAGGCGTGCCCTCAGATTGAAAGACAAATAACCAGTTTGAGTTTGAGTGCCAAATAACCAGGCACACAAACGTAAACTAGCTGGCCACAAATCACATGACACCAGAAAAACACCGCAAAAGCGGAGTCGAGCCCCAACCCCTCCGCGGCGGCCGGAAGGTCATCCGTCTCCCGTGCTGCTGACTCGCGAGCCGGTTACGGCCGCAACAGTCGGGCCGTGATCAGACTGCCTAGCCATCCCGCCCACGGCCCCGGTCCCGCGAGAGGCCATCACTTGTTTACCGGTTGACTGGGAGTAGCGCCGCGCCGCGATCAAGGTCGCCGGCGCCGCCCGAGACGAGGGGGCAGACACATACCGTCGAGGAGGGTCGACACAGCCCATAGGTCCCACGACCGGCGTCCGACAGCCCAGCGGTCTCACGAGCGGAGCCGCGTGCTACGCCAACACCGGTCATCCAAAATATGTGGAAATACGTTATCAGATGTCAATTCTCTACAGTTTTAGCCTTAGAACGGTGTCTGAGATACATTTGGTAATGGTATGGTACTCCACCTAATCCTGACCCAATCAGTTACTCAGATTATCACTCATTCTGAAAGCTTTTCTTGTGCCTTATGTATTTTGTTCAGAAGCATCCTATTTGAGCCTGACAGATGTTTTCTTAACAAAGCTTGTGTATTTCAAAAAACCTATGAATAAATCAAAACACAAGCATTAGACAGAAACCTACTGAATACCAACATGCTTTCGATATAAGCAAAAAGGAAATAACTAAAGCCACAGGGTTCATCAAACATCTTAACACCACCACTTGAAGTAAACAAGGGCTGGATCAGCCTATCAACCTCACTTCAGACAGCTGACACTGTGGATCAGTTCCAAGAACTCTTTCAAACCCCTCTGAACACTTCTGTGGACAATACCTTGAACTGCTGAACAAGAATATCTCAGTTACATCTGCAGTTCAAGTGGAAGGTTGTGACAAAACAGCACAGCCAAATAATCCAGGATTTCTTAATGAGTGCCCAATTTTCAATTTTCAAAGGGAATAAGGATTACTACTCAAGGCTATAGACACTGAATTAATTAAACAGGTTCCTAATGGGATATTTACTGATGCTTTCAGAATAGGAAATGTATTTCAGAATGCTATGTTAAGACTAGGTATATCAATAGAACTACATGAGCAGCATGGTGATTCTGATTTTAAAGTAAAAAGCAAACAAACAAAACAAAACAAAAACAATCAATGAATAAAATAACACTAGTTGCAAGTATTTTACAATGCTGTCAGGCAGCAGTGAAACTTCCCTTTGGCACACCAGTCTAATAATAAGTGAAAACTAAGCTATATGGTCAGACATGGGTGGAGAACCTGCCCCGGCCACCCCGGCCGTGGCCGGGGTAACTTTCAGCCTACCCCGGCGCGGCCGGGGTAACTTTTCCACTCTTGTAAATCCTAGAAGCTGTCTCCAAACCAGAAAAGAAAACTCGTTCTTCAAATGTTCACTGCCATGGCCGTAATATAGCAAATCAGGTAACTATTTACTAACATACCAATAAGCTCCAATCCCAGGAGGCGCGACCCGCGTGTGGTCGCAAATGCCAAGACTGCTCTCAAATCGGGCTCAGTTTCGAAAATTTGGCGCGCCTTCGGCGCACTATTTTCCGAACCAATGCTTGACCTCACTGCCTTCGACTGGCCTGCCAGTGCCACCAACCGCAACCATACCCGTTAACGTTTATAAGTGTAGCCGTCAGGATGCTCATTAACACCGAGCGTCCATCATGCTTCGAACTCGGATTGTCGTAACCGGGACGCGTGCTCTTGCCACGCGGAGTTCAACGCTCTTATAGCGACTGACGAGACTGGGACCGGTCGATATCCCTGGATCGACCCCCTGTTTGTCTTATAGGAGTTTGAGCTGCCCAACATTGAAGAAAGCTGCGTAACTGGATGTCAGTGACCCATTTTAGTGCTTTGGTTCGAACGTTTCATTTTCTCTGTAAAACTCAACATTATACGATGTCGGATCCAATGTCGGATATGATACGCTCATCCTTTAAGAAACACAACATCCAATATTCCATTTCCATGGGTCAGAATAGGGGTTTGCTTATGATGACCGTTAACAACAATGTGAGCATATCGTCTTTCCGACTATTGGTCGCCGGCCGGGGTAACTTTCTAAAACATTCTCCACCCATGTGGTCAGAAACAACAAACCAGTCTTGAAAGTTATTTAAACAATTTGTAGTTACATACTTGGGTGGAACTTTGTGCCAAGCTGGGGTGCCCAAGCACAACAAATCAGGGTATATGTGAAGCAGATGAAGCATGGTTGGTAAGCTGGTAGGTTGTAGGTTGTATGTTTAAGGCTGGTAGGTTGTAGATTTGCAGGTTGCAGGCTGGTAGGTTCAATGTTGTAGGTCAGTAGGTAAGGTTAGGTCAGGTTAGGTTATGTTTCTTAGCTTCACTGTACTTCATCTACACATTTACCAAAATCAGCTGCTGCTCCAGTGATAAACTTGACCTCTGTCACCTGTTGAGGCTCCAAAGCCAAGCTAGCATGGGATTGCAAGAACTCAGGCACTCCCATTTAGCACAAACCTCCACCTATATGGTCACATAGGTACCTCCAAAAGTTTAGGATGGGATGATGGTAGGCAATACTGTGACGTACCTACCTACCTACCCACATCCCACAGCATTGCATGTTGATAGCCGTTGCATTGATAATCAAATAAAGGTAATGTTATCCATTAAAAAAAAACTTCTGGTCGGAAACACGGAGGTCCCCAAGCGTTTACGTTTTAATTATATGAATCCAATTAGTATCACAACATGCTATGATCCAACTATCTAACATTCCCTGCCAGTAAAATGCAACAGCTTACCATTTAAAGCTGGCAAAATTGACCCCAAAACACCACATACCTCACCCCTCGCAACCGACGCTGACGCCATGCTGGTTACGGCGGATGAACACAATTTATAAACAATCAAGGCTGCAAAAATATCAGATGCGTTTCGCGTGCACAATTTTTTTATCGCAGGCAGAAATGACAAACAATACCAAGGTTCTCAAATTGTTATGTCTAAAGCGCGGACAACTTTAAATTTGAGAAAAGCGATTATTACTCGATGAAATTCAAAGAGGTGTCCTAACCTAACCTAACCTTACCTAACCTAACCTAACCTAACCTACTGATTTTTGCCTACCGAGCTTAGAAACCTAACCTAACCTACTGATTTTGCCTACCAGGCATAAAGAAACCTAACCTAACCTAACCTAACCTAACCTACTGATTCTTGCCTACCGGGAATCCTAACCTAACCTAACCTTACCTAACCTAACCTACTGATTTTTGCCTACCAGGCATTAAGAAACCTAACCTAACCTAACCTAACCTAACCTACTGATTCTTGCCTACCGGGAATCCTAACCTAACCTAACCTAACCTAACCTAACCTAACCTAACCTACTGATTTTTGCCTACCGGATAAGGAAATAGTTACTTGCAGGAATAGATTGCAGGCAATAGTAAATCAAATATTTTCAGGTTAAGTGGTCATGCATCAGGCTTCAGGCCTTCGGCCTGAAGCCAGATACATAACCATTTAACCTAAAAATATTTGATTTACTATTGCCTGTAATCTCTCCTAAGGCATTGCCTTCGGCACTGCACTGCTTCGCCACGAGTTGGCCACAGACGAAAACATGTACAGTACAGGCGAAGAAATGTTGGACGAAGAATGAAAATATGTACAGACAAAAAAAAATGCACTGACCAAAAAACGAAAATAAAGAAAATGCACGAACGAAAATATTTACGAACGAAACATTTCTGAAGACTTTTTCAGAAAAGTCGCTATCATTCGTCGACAGATCTGGCGCATCTCGTGAGGCGCTTTACCGAAAAAGAAAATTACCGAATTCTCTTCTATTAAAAATTAAAAATACAGAACCATAATTCCAAAATTATTTGTGTATATCTATATCTATCACTTTTTCATAAAAATAGTTCCCCCCCCACCCAAAACCCCGGTTTCCCACAGTTCCCCTAGTGTGTTGGGTTTTATGAAGATACTACATTTCTGCGTAATGGTATTTAACAACAATTGACATGTTGACAACAGACCGTCGTGCGGCTCCACCGAGATCGTGGTAAGAATACGATTAGTTAGCTTTTGGTCTTAAAATTATCGATCAGATAACTGGAAACCACATTATTCTTACTAAACATGAGTTTCTCTATAGAATGATGTCTATATTATAGGGATTAACTAATTTTGAAGCGGGGACCTCCATGTGTACCGCCAAACTTCTGATTTCAATAGTAAATTGATATTCAA